AACGAGGACCCAACACCACAGGATGGTTGGGAAAAACAGATGAAGCAGGAAAAGACAAGGACTTCTTGGAGGAGGAGGAAGAGGAGGAAATCCATAAGATCCTTTAGGAAATCCATAGGATTCATCAGGACATCCAGTGGACTCCTGACGAAATCCATCGGATCCCTTAGGACATCTATAACAATCCTTAGGACATCCATCGGACTCTTTCGGAAATCCATCGGGTTCCTTACAAAAACCAAAAGGATTCCGAAGGAAATGCGCCGGATTCCTTAGGACATTCATCGGGTTCCTTCGGAAATCCGCGGGGCGCCTTAGGAACATGCCGCCCCAGCGACATGCTTGATCTCCACAGCATTCCTTTTGAACATATATCGGACACTTTGGAAAATCCATCAGGTTCCTCCGGGAATCCATTGGTGTCCTCAAGAAAGCCATCGGATCCCTTAAGGCGTCATTCGGATTCCTGAAGACATGCACAAGATTCCTCCAGAAATCCCATCGGATACCTTAGGACATCTATAGGATTCCTCCGGAAATCCAAAAAAAAAACTTAAGATATCCATCGGATTCATTCGGACATTCCGGGAGGATTCCTGAGGACATGTATATGGTTCCTACGGAAAACCATAGGATCCTTCTGGACACCCATCGGATTCCTGAGGAAATCCATCGGGTTCATTAGGACATCCATAGGATTCCTCGAACAATCCATGGGGTTCCTTAGCACGTCCATAGGGTTCTGGACATCCATCGGATTCCTTTGGGGATCCTTCGGATTCCTTGGGACATCCATCGGATTTCTCCTGCAAATCATCGGACTCCATAACAAAAAATCCATTGGATTCCTTAGGACATCCATGGGATTCATTCGGAAATCCTTAGGCTTCCTTCGGACATCCATAGGATTCCGTAGGGCACCCATCGGATTCATTAAGACATCCAGGAAGGGCTCCTTAGGACATATGCATATGATGCATTGGGAAATCAATAGGATTCCTCTGGACATCTATAGGACTCCTAAGGACATGCATCGGATTCCTTCGGAAATCAATGGAATTCTTTAAGGCACCATGGGAGGAGGAGGAGGAGAAGGAGGAGGAGGAGGAGGAGGAACAGGAGGAGGAGGAGGGGAAAAGGAGGAGGAGGAGGAGGTGGAGGAGGAGGAGGATGTGGAGGAGGGGGAGGAGCCCCAGGACCAGTTTTCCAGAAAAAATGATTCGGGACATTTGGTGATTTATGTATAAATCTCAATTCTCAATTCTTTTAATCCTTTCAAGAGGCACATGTGTAGGAAGACTCCATGGCGGCCCGTTTGCGGTGATACAACACACACACGGGTTAAAAAAAAAGCTCAGGGCTGCTGGAGCGCAAGGAGGAGCAGGAGGAAGAAGAGAGGATTCCTTAGGAAACCGGTGAGAGCCCTTGGAACACCTATAGGATTTCTTAGAGAATCAATAACATGCCTAAAGAATTCCATCGGAATCCTTAAGAAATCCACCGGACTCCTTAGGACATCCGTTGTATTCCTTCGGATATCCATCGGGTTCCTCAGGACATCCATAGCTTTCTTTAGGGGATGCACCTGGATTTGTTTTGAGGGAATCAATGAAAATCTTTCAGAAATCCATAATAGGCAATCCAAATAAATTCAAAGGATTCCTTAGGAGATCCATCGGATACCTCAAGAAATCCATGGGACTCCTTTGGATATCCATCGGGTTCCTTGGGAAATCCACAGGGCTCCTTAGGAAAGGCATGAGATTCCGAAAGATTTTCGAAGGGATCGGGAAGCAATCCGCAAGATTTCTTGGGCAGCCAATCGAATGTCTTAAGGAATCAATCGGCTCCCTTACGAAATTCATAAGAATCCGTAGGCAATCCAAAAGATTCTTCCGGAAACCCATAAGAGTCCGTAGGAAATGCGCCAGCGCCAGAATCCTTCGGACATCCATGGGACTCCTTAGGCAATCCAAATGATTCCCAAGGAAATCCATAGGATAATCCCGACGGAATCCGATGGATTCCTTTGAAAACGTCGACAAACACATGTTAACTTCATAATCAAATCGGTCACCGTTGAGGAGTCACTTTAGTGTCAGACAAACATGAGGACTTTTCCACTGTTGACAATAAAAAATTCGCCACGCGCGCGTCTGCCCGCGCGCGCGCGCGATCGGGTGACCCACGCGCGGGCGGGTCACCCGAGATCCCGCTGGTTACCGTCAGGGGTCCACTTTAGTTTCCAGACCAACATGGCAACATGGCGACTTTTCAATTGCGTGCAATGCAAAACTCGCCGCGCGCGCGCCCGCGCGTAATCGGCCTCCACGAATAAATTGCAAAGTGTTTTGGGTCGCCACCCGGGGCCGTTGCATGGCCGAACGAACGAAACCCAACAGCCCGACCAGCGGAAGCAAGAAACAACAAACAAAAAAAATGGCGCAGCCTAGCGGGGCCCCATGAAAGGCCGCATGGGCAAACGCAATATTCAGCCATGCGTTTTTGTCGTGGCCGCGCGGGCCCGCCGCCTTCCCCGCAAGAGTAAACGCAAAGGCGTGCCCAATGCCAAAAACGCACAGTCTGGGGCAGCCACGGATGGCGCCGGCGCGATGCAAATCAGAAACCGCAACGCGTCGGGCTGATGGGAATAACGCACGCACGCGCACACGCACGCACACATTGCAATGTACCGCGCGACCCACCCGCGCGCGCCACTGCGCAAAAAAATAAGGCCTGGCCACCGCCGCGCAAGGAAACGCCGCCGGCGCAATCCCTATGGGCGCCCACCGAGGCCAAACGAGGAAACGCAAGTGGATGGGAGCACAAAGATGTTTGCAAAGCTTTGGCGGGCACGACCGGGGCCCTTCACATAGCGGGGCATCAATATCCCCGTTGAAATCCGGCGAGGCCCGACGAGCAAAACGCAACCGGCAGCCCGGAGCGCGCGACGCAACCGGGCACGGCCCGCATATGTGATTCCAGCTCCCCCGCGACGCCTGAGCCTGCCTGCGCTCCGAAGGCGTGGCTCGGGACTCGCCCAGTCGCGAGGCTCTGGGCCGCCGCCCTCACGTTCGGGCCCTTCGGCGGACAGCCTGCTTTTTTGATGCCCCCCTGAGCCCAAAGGATGCACGTCTGGGTCTCCTCCCGCCAGTGTCCTTAGGCTCGGGGTCGCGAGCAGCTCGATGCGGCGCATGATGGTACATGCCCTCGCCCCAGTTCTGCTGGCGAAAGGATTTCATCTGCTAGCGCGCGATGGATTCGTCTTCGATGTCCGCGACGCCCTGGACCGCATGGGAGAGCGCCAGCAAATTGGCTTTCGCCTCCCCCGGGGTCGCGGCGTCGTCAACCATCGACAAGCTCAACCCGAACCACGCCTGCAAGTGCGCCCACGTCAACATGGCGAGCTCCTCGCGGTTGCCCGCCGCCTCGCACTGCCGCCTCGCTTCCTCGCGGCGAACTTTTGCGCCCCTCATCGCGTCTAGCTGAACGCGACCTGGTTTCGCCGGCGCCACTCGTGAGAGACAGCCCGCGAAGCGACGTGACGCGAGGTCCAAATCGACCGCGGCACTTTCCGTGCTCGCCGCCAAACTGCGGCGCTCCTCGTCGAACTTGCAACCAACCGCGCATCTCGCCCGCGCTCGATCTTCGCCTGCGCCCAGGGCGCCGGCCTCCGCCCGGGCAATCTGCATCTGCATCTGCGTCGTCGCACTGGCCGTCGGGAGAGGAGTGCGCTGCTGGGGCGTCACACCCTGGAAATCACATGCAGTGCCAGAGACCTCCTCGAACTGCAGAACGCCTACGTAACCGCTCGCGCAGGAGAGCAACGCGGACGGCCTCATCTTCACCAGAGCGACATGTAAATGACGTTGGGCGCTGGAGCTCCACGAACCCCGCCGACGCACTTCCCCCGCTTGGACACGCACACGCACGTACGCACAAAATGTAGCACACACTTCAACATGATAGCGAGTCGAGTCGAGCGACCTGAACGCCCTGAAGCACCAACTACATTGATCGCAAAAAAAACGCGAGCCGATGTGGTACGAACTTTTGCTGAACTCATCGTCTGCGGCATTGCATGGCGCGTGAGGGTTGAACAAACTAGCGTAAATGTGGTACCGTCGGCAAACGTAGAAGCACACGGGAAACCACCAAAACGCTTGTCCCGAAGAGCGGGGGGATTGCGTACACGGCCATATCCATGTGGACGTGAATAACCTATCATCTCCCGATCAGGACGAAGGATGGATGCGTTTTCGGGCAGAAGCAGCGCGTGCCAACCAGTGTCTCCCAGTGCCTCGCGATAGCGAGGCTAGACACGACCCTGCAAATCAAGGTCATGCCATACTTCGAACATAATTCCACAGACGTGACGTGGTCGACAAGAAGACGTGCGCTGTCCGCGAGACTCGCCCGCGAGAGGCCCCAATATACAGATACAAATGTTCGTTTGCGGCTCCTGGGCAAGCCTCCACAGCCACTGCGAGCGTCGAGAGCGCACTGTACTTTCCAGCGCGGGCGAATTTAATCATTCTCGCACCCGTGGTTTTGTCCAAATACGTACACCCTCACCCCTCCCAATTACTCCTCACGTGCACAACTAGCTCCGTGCAGTAGAACGCGATGGTTGAAAAAAATGTCAAAATGAGTTAATACATCGAAATGTTCACGAAACCAAAATCGGGCCTCTCCTCCAAAGAACGTAGATGACTCCTCGACAAGCACTCTGACGAACGGGTCTTTTGATCCCCCTCGTCGTCAGCGAAGTCGAAATTATCCAAAACACGCAAACCCGCCCTGGCTGCTGCCAATAAATGTTCCTGGTTGTTCCGTAATGTGTCCATCTGCCTAAATTGTGTCATCCTCTACAATGTCGAACCCATTGTTTAGCTGTGCCTTTTGTTTTGTACCTAACCGCGCCTTGCTGGTGATAAAAACCGTGCACAACGGCAACAAAGCCTCTCGAATGACACCACATTACGATATCCGTACTTTCTTCATTCTGAATTCCGTGGTATTCGTGAACACGTGCTGGAGACCCAAACGTCCAACTTCTCAATGGTCCGCTGGGCCTGCGAGTCGCTAGCCAACACATCAATCCGAGTCATATCTTCAACCAACGTCGGCAACGACACGTTGACGATTTCACCTGTGACAAGTTGTCGAACGTTGAACAATCTGGACTCCATCCCCTCATCCGCGACCCAATACACTTCTGGAATCTAGGGTCGTACAAACGTGTAGATCTCGACGGTGCTGCTGCATCGCCGTGAAGGTCCCCGCAGCCCAAGTCCAAGAGAGCTACAGCTCTGCGAACTGAACAAATCACCGCTCGTCGATGCTGAAGTTTGACGGTGTGAGCCCAGTCGACGCTATGAGCGTTATCGATCAAGCTACCGAAGGCGCCGTGGTAG